ATGAATTTATAGACGGCACGTTCATGCTCATAAAGCTGACGGATGTCACAAGCTGACAAAGAGAACACTTATGAAGGACAACAGAATCAGGATTAACTGCACCATCGCAAAATCCAGTACTTTTGATGGACTGCAGGCTCCGAGTGTGACGTGGCTGTTAAGGCTAAGGCCACCTGAGACTGCGTTAATTAGTGGGGGGGCCTTGTTTGGAGGGTGCCGCTGCTCTGGCGGTATCTGGAGTATTACATTCACTTCTAGGCCCGTAGTTTTAGGGTGCACTGAGGTGTTGGGGCTCTGGGGACTTTTTCATATGAAAGAGGGTTAGGAGAACCTTGAGTTTAAGCCCAAGACGGGAAAACTTGGAGCTCACCTTTCCAACCAATGTATAAAGCCTGTCTCATAAAGATGGGTCAGACTTGCTCTAGTTCACCCAGAGGAGAGGCCTGGGACCCACGGGTGGAAGTTTTGGGAGCCAGGTTTCAGTTCAGTTTAGGGAAGAACTTTCTAACAGTCAGAATGACAAGAAATTCAGTGGGTAGGGCATTCCCTGCATGAAAACCATCTGAGCCAAGGCTGGGCGACCTCTGCAGGTGGATTCCCACCCTGAATGGAGGTGTGAGCTAAAGAACTTCTCCGTCCACTCCCACGCTCTATGAAATCCAAGTGCATAAATGAAATGATTTGTAAAGCACATTTTTAAAAATTCTAAGAAAGTCATGGGGAAGTTTTGGGAGAAGGGGAGAAAATATTATTGGAGAATCAACAATAGGGATTTAAGTGAAAGTCAAGAGTTTATTCAAAGCTCAGCACAGAACTACTTCTTTAAAATGAAGAGATACACTTAATCACATCTATGTTTCCACTGAGTCTGTATCACAAACCTGCAGCTCCTCCCTTTCAGTCTCGCCCCTAAGTTCTGTGGAAGGAATGACGGAAATGACCCGTCTCACTGGAACTGAGTCTCCAAACATTCAATATTGAATAAGAATACCGACTACTGCTGGGCTCAGAGGGAGATGTCCCTGTTTACACCCAACATCTGTGTGCAGAGGTGTCAGAGCCACTAAGAGCAGAAAAGGCAGCAGAACCCTCCTGTGGGCTCTGCTTCTGTCTAAGAACATGAAGCATCTAGACGCTGCTTCTACAAAGGGGCTCCTAGGACAGGACCCACCAGGGTCCAGGATTCCTTGGAAAGTTTGGCAAAATTTTGAGCTCACGGGATTTTTCTAGGGAGAGGATCACAGTTTTCATCGATTCTCAAAGGTGTTTATGACTAAAAGGAGAGTGCTGTCTGCAGGAAGGCGAGGCAACAAGTGGAGGGCAGCCTGCTGCTCCCCTCCTGACACGCAGGGGCTGCAGCCTTGGTGCTGTCATGCAGGGTTAGAGAACTGATGCTGAACTTCCTTCCCACTCTCAAGTGCCATGACAGAGAAGGGATGGCAGCCAACACTCGTGCTCACAAGGACCCCTGGCCCCTAAAGCCTTGCTTTTTCAAACTGTGAAGGAGTGGCTGGCCCTGGGCCTTGAGGACACAACGAATGGCAAGTTCCAATGACCATGACAGGAGCATCCCTTTTAAATCAGCATCATGGACGGCCTTAAGGAGATGTGACTGGCCGCTCTGTCACTGTTGTTACCAACTTTCCTGATTAAAACCAAAAAACATCAGGGGCCAGCCTGGTGGCGTAGTGGTTAAGTTCACGTGCTTCGTTTTGGTGACCCAGGGTTCGCAGCTTCAGATCCCGGGCATGGACCTACACGCTGCTCATCAAGCCATGTGTGGCAGGAGTCCCACATATGAAATAGAGGAAGACGGGCACAGATGTTAGCTCAGGGACAGTCTTCCTCACCAAAAACCAAACAAACCAACCCAAAAAACATTAACTGCCTTATTGTCAAAGGCAACATTATGCTTAAACTCACACGAGTAGCCACAGAATCTTCAGGACAACATTAGGTTATTCTGAAATATTACTCCTCCCCCCACCAAAAAAACCTCACTCCACCTATAGGTACTGTTTCTGCCAATAAATAAAAGTATTTTAGTACTGTCTACATTGAAAGTGGGAAAGGAGTAAGACAGAAATGTAACCCAGACCAATATCAAGAAAAATGTTTTCCTTTTCTAGAGATCTTTAAAAATAAGATTGATAGCCATCTATCTGGAATGATTCTAGTCCTTTTAAGCAGAAAAAAGAAAATGAGCCATTGAGGGCCCTTCTACTCCTGTGGTTTTTAAGTTGTGAACATCCTCAAGTGCTTCAAACCCAGAGGTGAAATGAGAGTGGCTCATCCTGTGCAGAAACACATAAGCACCATTAAGGATTTTACGTGATTCAAGGAAAGACTAACTGCTGGCTTCTCCTGGCCAGACTTTGTGAGAAAAAATTACACCAACACTCTGAATATTCAATTTTGTACTGTATGTTTTCAAAAATTTAGATTCAGGAATTTGCAGAATATTTTCAGTAAGAGAACTAACAGAAATGTTTTGCCCTTCAATTTAAAAACATTTGCTAATATTGATTGAAATGATGACACTCCAACATCTACCCGTATTCATGTTAAATCTGTAATCAGAGATAGTGATGTAGAAATCTACAGTCAATTGTCACATAAAACACACAAAAATTGGACAAGCTATACAGTTCTCTTTTAAAATGTATCTGTATTATTTTCACCAATCAAAACACACATAATATATTTTATTATAAAACATGAGGCAATGTTACTTTTGAGATATGCAATCTGAAAGGTCACAGCTGTATGCAATCTGAAAGGTCACAGCTGTATTCACTATCAGTATGAAATACCAGAGGAGTTACATTAGCGATCAACCAGAGGAACTCATACATCATTACCATGACTTACACAGTGTCAAATCCAGATTAAACCAGTATCCCATTCAGTGTTTCAACTCCGGGCCCTGGGTGTCAGGAAGGGGCCTGCGAGGGGATCTCCTTTCAGCACTGCAGCTCTGAGTTTCACATCCCAAAGACAAAAATGGAGCCCTACTTCCATCTCCATGACCACAGCAGATCCGCAGCTAGCAGCTTGTGTTTCTAGACTGCCCTCCTACTCTGGGAGACTCTGCCTGCTCTTCGGAACCTGCACTTGAAATCGAGACCCAACACACCCGGAGGCAGTCATTTCCTTTTTGACTGAAAACTAAGCCAACAAACAAAACAAACCTAGTCCAAATTCCAGGCTAATAATAAATTAGCTGGTTTATAAAAATATGTGTTCAAAATAGTTACTTCCAGGGTTGTGTACAATATAAATTACAAAAATAAAATAGAAAAGATGAAAAAGTTGAGTACATTTTCAGTTCTTTATCTGACATCAGCATTCATCCACAGCAGTTTGAAACCATTTGCACTGCACCAGGACCTGGCACATCTTGGCTCAGGAGGAGGACCCTGGACTGGGGTGAGGTATTTCTATGGAGCTCTGTCATCTGCAGCCTGTGGCCTGTCCGAGGTGCACCTGCTGCTACCTGACAGAAGGTGGTCTGGGCAGGAAACCTGTCCACACCGACACGGGCTCCATCCGTGAACACGCCAAGAAACAAGTGGACGGAAAGCCCATGTGCGGGGCTCCTAGCCCACTCACAAATGGTGCCTGGAAAGCACGCCCTCGATGCGCCCTCAGCACCCCCGCACTGCCCTTACATAAGCCTAAGGCAGAGAAAGCATTTTTAAAATTCTCCCCTTTCTTTGTTTTTCTTTTTAAAGACAGGTTTAGTCAAGTCTTTTTAAACAATGTATATTAGAGAAAAGGCCATTTTAAGATGTTTATATATGTATAGCCATAACTTTCTTCACTATACCATCAGGCATCTAAAACCAAAATAATCCCGAGCCATATAATAGGTGTTTCTGCCTCAATCCAAGTTAGTATTTCCATCTTGTATATGAAATGTGTCTAAACCTCACAATGTAAAACTATTATTTCAATATTAATTTTGTTTATCAAGGGTTCCAGTTTCCAGTGATGAGACCAACCAATAAGATGCAACTGGTGCAGAGAGAATCACATATTTTAGATAATATTTATAATATAACTTTCTTATCAAACTTCCTTTTCAGAACACATTCTATAGAATGAGAACAATGTTGACCCAATAGCTTCCAAAGTAAACATAAGATATGAATCTGTAACAGAACAAGCTCAAGGGGAAAGCATTATGAACACAAGTGGTCAAAACGTGACCCTCGTACTCCACTTCTGCAGGGACACTTCAATACTCAGTATCTTAGTGACTGCTGAATAATTTCCATATCAGAAAGTCTGAAAGTATCAATTTCAGGTGAGCAGTTTTAAATCAGAAAATATTCAATAGCTAATCACTACTCTTTAGGGCATTTCCTCTGTATCCCTCTGAAGAGCTTCCCCAGAACATTCATGGATTTCCCTTAGGAAAAGGAAGTGCCTCCACAGAGCAGAAAACAACAACAATAGGCACTCTGAAGCAGCCCTGCCTCCTGAAACAGACCAAAGGGGCAGTTATGTGGGCTCTTTCACAAAGAAAGAAAACCCAGTGTGCCTGCTATATGGGAAAAGGGAGATGCTGCCTTGGAACATCGTGTATCCTACCCCGAGTGACAGACGCTAAGGAAGGGCCCAGCCCAGCCTTGGCGAAGCAAGCACCTGGGAAGTGACTGCCATCACTTAGTGGTCACTATGTAAGATTCTACCCCAACAGCAGGTAATGGACTTAGGAATCTATCTGCCATCATATTATTGACATGGAGTGTCAGGTGGCTAATAGAAAAGGTGAAGTTCTAGGTAGCATTTTAAATAAATAATAAGTCCAGAAGACCAAGAGAAAAGGGATAGGATAGGATTTTAAAGGTATATGTCTTAAGCAGCACAAAACAAAACTTAAAATTTTATCATGCAGTAAAGCTGAATGTACAATCCTCCAGACTAAGACAATTTAGAGAAAACAAAGTGTCTTGGTTTTAGCAGTGATAATTCTCAGCCCAAAACATGACAAATTTAAGAAAAGTTATTATTTTTATTAAATAGATTTAATTATATTCCTTCTGAAATACAAAAGACAGAATAAATCATAGCATAAAAGAAGGTAAGATATGATAATATGATGGTGGCCAATTAATACACATAAATCTATTTTTTCTGGACAGACACCAAATTACTTAAGAGGATTAAGAGATAATTCTAGAAGCAGCATTACCTGGAAGATTATTTGGCATTTAAATACTGATTTCCAAAGTGCTAGACGCTAAGTCCGAGCAGGCATTTGTGGTCACATGCATGTAAGTCTCAACAGTTACTGAGGATGAGGAATTGTCACTACTATTACCGCACAACTTTTTAAAAAATTCATCTATCCTAATTGCTCACCTGAAATGACCTTGAAAATAAATCTCTACAAGTGTGACTAGCACTTTTCTTATTCAGATATAATCTGCTTCATTTTATAATCTAAGCAGGCAATCCTATTGGAACTGAGTAGGGGCAAGGCATCATGTTTCTTACATGCAGAACATGGAGTTTTTCTATTTGGTTCCATCAACTCCCAAGTATTTTAGGCCCATGGAAGCGTGAGTTCCTTCACTGATGACATGCTTGCTGTTTCTAACTCATCATCGACAACCTTCAAGAGGCCCCGTCGAGGCATCGAGACTGCTGTCTGTGTCTGAGGCCAGCGTCTGCTCAGTGGACATGGATGAAATGTCATTGACAGATGACGACTGAGAAGGAGTGGCGTTGCTACTTACTGCTGCATCTGTGCTAAGAAAACCAAATATAATAAAATCTGAGGCACGACACTGCTGCAAATCCAGGCAATGAGACTTAGGCCATTTCTCAGCTCTGTCCTTTTGAAGTCTCCTATCCTAACTATTGGTATAAACAGGAAGTTAGTCGACCATCCATTTTAAACTTTTCCTGGAGTCTTTCTTTGGGCCCAGAATCCCAAATATTTCTCTGTCTTTTCTTGCAACATTTTCCTTTTCTTCCCAGTGGCTAAACGTCATATACATTGTGCTCATGTATAATCATGTTAACTCTTAAAAAATACCTGCTGGTTTTAAAAAGATATTAAAAGAAAATTGTTGAATTTATCCTAAAACTACCAGTATCACAAAAGGCTTAAGCCCAAATAGGATTCATGTGTCATCAGACATTTCAATTACAGTCATAAACACTTATGAGGAAAGCATCAACTTTTGAAGGAAAGTAAAAAGGCAACAACCTTTGAGAAATTCTTTGGCAATAAAAACATCTTCTAAAGTAAGGACTGTATACAAACCAAAAAAAAAGGAAAAAAATTTAGTGGCCTCTTGTTCATTTTATTTTTGTTTTATAAATCCTGAAAACTGACATTTTAAGGCAAATGAAACTATCTTATTTCCTACTATCTATAGTCTGGTTTGAGTAAAAATAAAACATCCAGGCTCTCAGAGGTCAGTGTTTGCAGTCTTAAATTTGTGCTTAGTTAACACGCCCTAAATTCGTACTGAAGTCATATAATCTCTAGACGCTTGACACATACAGCACGCTGAATATAAAATTCAAGAACAAGAAGCAGTGCAATTTGCACTTCCACGTGTGGGCATGCGCGTGTGTCTGCACACTTTCCAGGGGCAGTGAGGTGAGAAAATAAATAACTAAAGTGTTTCATTTAGTAAACAGGTAGAATCCTACAGACATCAGTTAATACCACATATATTATGTCTCTAAAAATCATATAATTACTTAATTGTTAGACTTCTACCACTAGGTAGATCAAGGAGAAAAATGGGAGAATTATATGAACAATTTTCTCAAAAGAAAATCAAATTCTATTTTACCTAGATTCATGGTAATTTTATTTTTTAACTGAGTGGGGCCAAAAAAAGATCATGCACATTGAAAAGGCTTTAAATTCAATTTCCTCCTCTACAAATGGAGCTCATAGCAGCTGATGCAAGTATGAAACAAGAATGTTTATAACTGGCATATCAGTCAAATGTTAGCTGCCACCACCAGGACAAAACAAAATGGAAGAGACTATTTCACAAAAGAGTGTTCAGATCAGTGCTGGTCAAGCTGGTGCTGAACACATTGCTGCCATTTATAAAAGTTGAAAAGGGAAAGAAAAATATTACACAAGCAAATGATTAAAGCGATCACTAACCTGAAGGCTGATCTTTTACAACACCATTCTTGCTTCTTTCTTCCCAATCCATTACTTCTTTGTAAATTAGCTCTTCAAATAGAAACACAAGTTAAAGTGCTTCATCAGTTTCTTTGCATCTCTAAACCTTGCTTCCAAATCAACTGGAACCACTCCAAGGGCACTGTGATGTGTTATTTTTAATTGTGATATACTGTGAATTCAGTAATATAGTGCACCTAGACCAAGACATCCATGTTTTGATCCATTACATCTTTGCAACCCAACTATTAAGGCAGCCAAAAATGTAGAGTAGTTCTGGATCCAGGAGGGGTTTTACAGTGGGGGGAGGGGGGAGATGGGGTGAGGGAGAGAGGGTAAGAGGGGAAGAAGAGGAGAGAGTTTGCATATGTTTCTCTCTGTCAGTACTTGTGGTTTTCCAAATGTAACCAGCATCCACGTGTGGGCTAGAAGCCCCTCCAGACTGGCCAGAAATTAATCCACATATCTAAGTTTTTTCTTGGCTTCAACCTCAGTTTTCCTCAATTTTCATTTATAGGAAAAACTATTTACCTATTAAGTAAGCTATTAGGGGTTCCTAAAATTTTGGTATTCATGAAATAAAATTAGCACAGTACAAGCATTTACTGAGGCCTATGAGCTAGCCTTTTACCACCGAATGTGGCTGTGTGCAACGCCCTGCTGAGTGTGTGCATGCAGGTTGTGGGCACTCCCCACATCCCAGGAGGGGCTCCCGGGCAGGACACATCACAACTTTTGACTTGTGCTGACCACAGTTCCCAATTACTACTGATTGTGCTTTTTAATGAAAAACTTTTAGTTTAAACTCGTTATTAATGGTTTAGTTTGTTGTGGGTCATTTGGTTAATCTTATAGTGGTAATAATAACTATTTGCACATTTTTGATCTGGAGTTTTCCCCAAACTCTATTTTAAAACACACATACAACTACATGGCTTACAAATACAGCAGAAGTTCACATGTCCCCTGTGGGGTCCCCCATGTCTGCTTTCCAGGGGCCTGTGAATTGGGGTTACTCAACAATCTGCAACATGTTATCAAGGTAAGTGTGATAGAATTACTCAATTGTATTATAGTTATAACAATTATAACTCAATTGTATAACAACTGTAAAACGTTTAGTTTACAAACCAAGATTTGATAATGTAAGATCATGTGAAAAAGCCCTTATTTTTCTTTTTTGAGGCACATAAGATGCAATTCATACACGTTCCTCTCTAATTCTGTTCTCTTGAAGTTCTCATCCTACTGGGAAGTGGGAAGAGAAGTTAAAGGGGCTGCAGGGTTTCTCACCCCTCCCTTAGAAAAGCTATTGTCGAAAAGTGAAAAGCTGCCCCTTTGCAGGACTTCGAGAAATGTCATATGTAAGGATCAAAATAAGCTCTCTTTACCTTTCCATTCTTCAATTGCATGTTCTCTTTCTTCCAACTGGGCATCATAAATTTGAGGTGGTGGCTAAAAATCAAATTATATGTAAAGTCAACAGTTCAAAAAATAATGAGGCATGAAGAAAAAGGCAGAATCACTGGAAAGACTTCTATTTCTGATATGGATGTAGTTTCATTCCATACATGATTTATTAAAGATTTCTTCATAAGTGTGATATTACATCAGTTTCAGAATCAAAATAATTAAGGAAAAATTAATCAAAAAGATAGAGCTACTATGGTCCTCTTAATAATTACATGACCTCAAAACACTCTATAGACATTTGCCTAAATGTAATTATAAAATTAGTAATCACAGGCTGCTTCCTAGAGACCCACCCTGCACAAGGCACTGTGCTAGGAAATACAAAAGGTGCAGAACACAGCTCAGGTTTACAGTTCTTCCCGTTAGAACTCCCAAACCCAAACCCCAACTCATAAATGGACTGTTCCAACATTTACTTAAAAATCACGTTTATAAATCAGATTCTTTTGATATAAAACAATGTCTAAAATGGTGGTTAAATCCATAGGTCAAGACATAAAAATGTGTTCCACCGATGGCATAAAATAAGCATGTCACACTGTGGTTATCTTACTTACAGCTAAAGATCCTCCATACAGTGCCACTAGAGATAAACGCACACGAGCCCCACACTCAGAGGTGGGACTCCCAGAGCAGGTGCCTCTGGGGAAGGACAAACCATCTTGTGATTTTCAGCAAGTTTCTTAGCCTAATTGGTGCCTAAACAAGATGATGTCATTTGGCCCAAGGTACAGTGCCAAGTACATAATGGAGGCTTAAAACTGGTGACATTATGCTCACACGTCAGCGTCTACATAAACGAAGACGATTACATCACCACAGCATGACCATGTTCACTCCCAAGGTTCTCTGAGCTGGAGCCCCAGTAGCAAGGGTCCCTAAAGGGGCTGTGGCTCATGTCCCATGGCCTCCTTGTAATCAGGAGTCCTACTAAATCTAGGACTTGCTATCCTACGTAGTCATTCCAGACTGACAAACAGAAGATCCAAGGAAATGTAAGCCCTGCCTCTACACATAAGTCTTCTCCAGACAGACGCTTACCGCTTCTGCTTCAGCAGGGTCATACCAAACCGTAATATAAGGGTGACGCAGAGCTTCATCTACAGAGATCCGCTTGTCGGGGTCAATCACTAACATTTTTGATAGCAAGTCTCTGGCTTGACTTGCTAGAGTAAAAACAAATATTAGGTTAATAAACTAATGCTGTTAATCTGAAAATTTTGTGATTAGAACAAAATGTGATAGCACAGACAGCACAAAGATGTATTAACTTTGAGAAATTTTTGATAGGTTCAAGATTAATAGAGCCTTTTTCTTTAAGAATAAGCAGTGACTTTCACCACAAACCAGGCTTTCAAATGTGGGTTCAGCCTCTGGGTCAGGGAGGGGGAGGAGAGGGCCCCTGCTGAGCAGCGTGGTGGACGCAGGAGCTGAGCTCAGGGTGGAAATGTGGAGAGTGCAGGCCTGAAGCACGGTGAGTGTTTTCTCTTGATGTCACATCAAAATGAAATGAGAACAGACCTTTTAGTGCAGAACACTTCACAGATGCCTCTGCTTTGCCTACCTGTATGCAATGTTGGCAACATACACTTGTTTTTAAATCTAGAGATCAGTAGTTAGAAAAAACCAACAAGTTCAACCACTTAGTTAACTACTAGGCTCCTCTACGATTCGGCAATTAACGTTCACAAGTACAGGCAGAGGAGTGATGGGGCTTTTCTGATGAGGCACAGTGTACCCAGATGTGGACAGAAACAAATCCGTTCTTTTCCCTTACATCACATTTTAGTGATGGGCACAGAGGAAGGTGAGGAGGAGCTTTTTACTGAACTACTATAACAGGGTTTACTCAAGTGCTCTTTATTCCTGAAAACTTTTTGAATTCCAATTGCTGTAATTAACATAAGAGTCTTTCGGACTGATGTGAATATTTTTATTTTGGCCAAAGGCATTTGTTAAGCCACTTTATTGAGGACAAAACTTCCAGGTCTTCAAGCTTTCTCTATGCAAGGCCTTCATTCTAGCCTGTAAATAACTTTATTTGAGGGTTTCAACTATTTTGTCTCTGAACGTTCAAAGGTTTTAGAATGCAAACATGAAAAAGTGAAAGCTTCACACAGATTATGAAAACAAATATGAGAGAAAAGGATATCTTACTTTTTATTTTGTCTCGTTCAGATTCTGATGGGAATATCCAATCTGGAAACAATTCTTCAAATCTGATTCCAGGATACTTTGGTCTGTTTTCTACATAATTCCTCACAGTTGGCTGGAGTTTCTTCATGAAATCTGCAGACGGTGTTCCCAGCTGCTCAATAACTTTATTCCACTGATCAATATCTAAGGAGTCTCTTGAGGAAAATACAACTGAAAGGCCTTGTATTCATATTACATGAAGTAGCATCATTCAAAGAAAAACTTAAATTATATTTCTACCTGTCGACAAGTAGTTAACTAGGCTAAACGGGTCAGTAGAGGCATTTTGAAATAATATTCAAATAAGATTTGGGTTTCAAGTTTAGACTATTTTTAAAAATTCTTACACTGCATCTTTATAACTATGATCACAGTTTATTAAATCAACACAGTGAGGTCTGCATGCCTTCCCATTCTAGATCAAAATCAAGTTACCTTGTTACTGAAGGAATACCTATGACAGAAATGCTTCAACATGAAATTAGACAGTAATGACAGAGGCAAATTGAAATCAGTTTTCATACCAAAGCTGCGTTAGATCTAAGGCTCCCAAAAGTAGAGAGACCGATGGACTCTTCAGTTTACAGCTGGGGAACCAGGGCACTATGGGGCCAGCTGGCCTGGTGGTGGGTGCATGAGGGATGGACCAGGAGCCAGGGCTTTCTGAGCCCTTGCCACGTCCTTTCCCACGGGACCACATGCTTTCCTGTCGCTGGGCTTACCCTGAGCAGTGGCAGCTTTGAGAGGTCATTCTCTTTTACTTGGCATTAACCTCCACCATCACTGCAATACCTAGAAGTGCGTCTTATTTCCTTTCAAAGTACATGATCTGGGTTGCAGACTCCATTGTGCACTAGACACTTATCAGGTGTCAGGCAATCACTCTCCCTTGAGTCTCAACTTCCTTATTTGTAAAATGCAGACAATACCAGCTTTGCCTATTTCACAGGGGGCTTGGGATAACTGGCATAATGAGAGTGGAAAGAGATTCTGAAACTGTAAACAACTGTACAAGAGAATGCAAGCCAGAAGAAATCATATAAACAGCAGCTTTAAAATATGACTAATTGAAGTATGTCTTAGAAAAATGAAATTACATACTGTGAAAGAACCTAGGGAACAGACACATGTTCTTCCAAGGAACAAAGACGACTCAGTCCTTCCAAAACATTAGCCTTCTGCAGACCTGCTCGGGCAATGGGTTTGGACATCAAATCACTAGCATGTTCTTGCTTCACTGCTCTGTTCATACATGTTGCCAAATCAGAATTTTGCCTACATTTTATTTACCTATTTAGCCAAAATATGAAAACAATTCCACACCTCTGCCTCTCTCCTTACCCTTCCCATGCCTCTCCCCATACTCACTCCTCGCTGTGCGCACTGCCCCAGTTGCAGGAGAAGCCCGTGGACTGCGCGCGCGAGTGTCCTTCACTGTGGGCCATGCCTGCTCACCTCAGACCCCACGCCCTCTGTCTCCTGAAGGATACCGCTCCAGCAATTTCTTCTTCTTGCTGGTACACCATCACCATTTTGCTCTCTACTGGAGCATTCCATCACCAATCAAACATGATTTTTTTTCTTCCATATTAAAACAGCAGCCACTTTCTTTTGGCCCCATATCCGCCGCTTAGCTATCATCACTCTCATTTGCAGCAAAAGGAGTTGTGTACTGGTATTTCTAATTCCCAGCCTCTCATTCTCTTTTAAATATCCTCTCATCAGGCTTTTCCTCTATCACTCTGTGACATGCCCATTGAGGTTGCTGGTGACCATCCCTCAATCCAGTGGTCAACTCTCAGTCCTCACCCTTTTGACAGTGTCAAGGAGCCTCCCTCGGTAACTCATTGCCTGGCCTCCAGGGCCCTCGCTCTTTGGGAGGCGCCATCACAGGCGGGCCCTCTCAGCTTCCCTTCCCTGTTCCTCTCTTCTTCGCCACCCAGGGGCTTAGTCCTCCTCCTTTGCTCTTCTCTCTCTCAGCACTCTCTACCAGTTTCAAGGCTTTACATACTATTGGCAGACTGACAACTCGCATGTTTATTTCTCTATCCCAGATCTCTCTCCTGAACTCTGCCCTTGATATTTCCACTAACAGACACCTCAAAATCCTAACAAGGCTCTCTGAAGGGCTGACCTTCAAACAGATGCAGAGTTCAAGCCCTCTCCCCACCTCACTTCCTGCCCCCCGCTGGGAGCCTCTGTTGTCTTCTACTGGGTGGAACAGTGCAATAGCCCCGGTCTCCCCGCTTCTCCCTCACCCTGATGGTCTACCCTCTGCTCAGCAGTGGGGTGATCCTTTGCCGATGGAAGTCAGATAGGAGCCAAGAAATTGGTGGGTGCTCAATACCTATCTACTGGATTCATGGTAAAGGGTCATTTTTAGTGACTCCAGGGAAGTGGGAAAGGGGAAGATAATCCTAGCAAGACTGGCTGACCTCCTGGTTGTGTGCATACGCCTTTGTCACTCAACTACCACAGGTCTCTCGTTTTACCAAAGGGGAACCAAGGCTCAGAGAGGCCCTGACTCCTCAAGGATGCACAGTTTCCAAGTGGGAGTCAGAACCTGGGCCCAAGGTGGCCTGGCTAAAGCTTGCTCTTTCTCACAGGCCATGTAAGGACAAAAGTTCCTTTTTTACCTCAGGTCATGAATCTGAAGCAAATCTCTGAGAAGAACTTCAGTCTGGTTTCTGGAATCTTTTTCTATCCTAATAATTTTTAAACTAATGTTTGAAAAAGTTGGCAAAATTTTCTTTGGAAAATGATGTTAATCTCTATGTGTGTTTTGAGAATGAGGTTAAGTGACCTTATATATAAAACTATTAATTACTGACATTGCAAGATGTTAATATGTAAAGTGGGAATTTTAAATTACTTAATAATGCACCAAAAAGTACCCACATTTTTCATTTTCGTACTTTATGAAGAAAATATTTCTTAATTAATAAAAAAAGGAAAGGCACAAAATCAGTAAGAATTGAGATAAACGGAATGTTAAGTAGATACTTCTAAATTATTTATCTTTAGAAAATATCAACTTACCCCTTTTTAATTGAGTTTATTCGCAAATAAACACCTCTTTATTTACAGTTTGAAACAAGTGAATCTAAGGTAAGGCTATGGAAACTGCTAGAAAATTTGTTAAAAGAAAATGTATTAACTTCACATAAAATCTGTGATGTGGAAAATGTAAAGGAAGGTAAATAAAATGACTGGGATATAATCCTCCCATTCCAAGTTTGTGTTGTGAAGAATTTATATTACAAGAAAACCACCCTCATAAAATTATAAGAAGCTAAAATTACTTTAATAAAATACATACAAAACACTGACTACACAACTTGATTTCCTTTACAAATAACCAGTAATCTGCCAATGGACCAAGACCACTTTAAGCTTTCATAACAGAAAACAAAATCAAAGACTAAAGAAAATATTAAGTGGTTAGAACACAAATGAAAAAGGGTATATGTGAAGAACCATGTTAGAGTAAAAAATATTAAAGATGAAAGAATGACTATATGAGGAAAGAAAGCTGTTATATTATCTATTCTCCTTTATGTTATATGTTATTAATATGATTTGCTGACCACACTGTAAGTTAATCTTTTGCATTTTCTATTTATTTAGACTTCCCCGGTATGTCACAAAATAACTTTCTAGATGGATCTTTCAAAAATTTCTACAAAATGGCAGCAGACAAACAAGAAAATTTACTATATGTTGCTCCTCACAAATTTTTCATTTTAATCTTTTTTACTTAGGTCTTATGCAGTGTGCTTCAGTTCTCACTCGGGGAAAAGTATTTCAATGCATACCGATAACTAACAACATAGTATATTAATTGAATGACACAAGTATACTGCTTATTAAATTTAGATAGCAACTTTCCTAGTTAAATTAATTGAATGATCTAAATAAATAGTATTTTCATTTAAATATAAGAATACATTGGTGAAAGAATAAATAATTTCTTATAAACTATTTTTGATAAAACTGAGAGCTAATATTTGGTTTAACTTAACTCTAAGCCTTAATAAAATCATTACAGGTAGTCAAGTAAAAAAGAAAACGTGAAATTGAACCATTTGGTGTGTGACACTGACTTAACAAACAAAAGAAGCCCCTTAGAACACAGTCCTGAATTGCGCCGCTTTCCTTGCGTGCTGCTGTGTCTGTGGTATTTGTGAAAGCACAGCCGGGAAGGTCCCGGGAAGGATACGGTCAGTGCCTTGGAATATCACACAACCTTTCACCAGCTCTCCCATGATGCAACCCACTGACCAGATATCAACTGAAAACAAAATGAAATGACAAAATTATGAAGTGCCATGAACAAAACAAAGGTGAGGAAAAGGAATTCTAACAGTGTACTAAACACACAAATATGGAAAAATACATTGCTAGCTAAGGGTGAACTTTTTACACGATATGAATGATTGCCAACCTCTGTTTTAGCCTTCAGTTTACAGCAATCTGGAGTTTTAGTGCCAAAGATTACAATACTTCACAGCTTAAAAAACAAACAAAAACCCAGAAATAAGGAGTGCCCACCCTCGCCCCAGCCTCTGTGGTCAGTGCTAGGTCTCTCCCTGTGAAGGATACAGTCTCTTCCTGGGAACAGGACTTTATGGAGGACCATTTCTGCCATGATGCACCCGACAGACCAGATGTCCACTACCAAACACCAGGTGATTAAAACCAGCCCGAGACCCCCACACGTGTTTTCTCAAACCCCCTCCCAAAGACAAACCCAGCTTGTCAATGGAAGCTTTTGTAAAATAAGGACCCCACACCTCTTGAATGGTCCTGTTCTAAATTGCCAGTCAGCAGGGCCTCACAGGGGCAGGCTTGCTCATCTGGGCTCCAGGTGAGGCCCAGCTAGAGGTGCCTGACTTCCAGCCGTTCACCCTCTTCTGTGAGGCCCAACTGAACTCCAGGCTTCAGATGGCCAGGTAGAGGGCTATTTAGGCGCCCTGCTGGTGGGGGCAGGTAGGAGAAGCTAACCAGGGGTCTAATTTTCTCTCACTTCCACGGAGGACAACAGGAAACCCACAGAGCTGCCTCTTCGAGTGGGAGCGCAGGCTACAGAGCATCTAAATAAACCTGAAGCAAAACTCATTTCAGGTGACTTGGGCAAACTTGCAGACATTTTTTTAACAAGTCAATGTGATTTAGTTCTTCTCAACAAATTTGTCAAAAGCTAAGATTCAAAGAGCTCTGATATTGCTAGATAAGTTTTGATGTTAAAAAAACATCAATTTTACACAAAAGAGAACATGTTGCATTATTCTATTTATATCAAGTTCAAAAATAAGTGAAACCAATCTATGGTGCCAGAAATGAGAATAGCAGCTTCCCTTGGGGGATAAGACCCAGAGTGGACCTGGAGAGGCCTCGGGTGCTGCTGGTTATGGGGATGTACTCCCATCGAGCTGCACACTTGGGGTATGCATACTTTTCTCTAAGTATATTTGATAAATGTTCAAAAATATTAATTTCAAAAGTGAAGTTTTAAGTGAATAATTTTAACCAATGGAAATATAAAATTAATTATTTCTTATCTGTGGACTACAATAACTTCTGTATAACACAGGCCTCACATTATATTTCATATAGTTCATAGGGAAGATGAAACACTAATGATGACCAACGCACTAGTTTTAAAGGTCTCAGCCTCTTCCAGTCCCGTCTGTACTCACCGTTCTCTTTGTAGCCCATGCCCAGGATGACTTCTGGTGCCCGATAGTACCGTGTTACCACATAGGGCGTCATCATAAAGTTGGTGCATGCTGTCCGTGCCAGGCCGAAGTCAAGGATCTTAAGGGTGCAGTCTGATTTCACTACGATGTTGCTAGGTTTCAAATCCTAGGACAGAAATGGTTTAAATTAATGAAATGAACCAAAGCATGCTAAATAAACAATCTCGCATTAGTAAGGATTCGAGAAATCAGTTGACTACCGAAGTGATAGTGCCAGAAGGATGAGGAAAGTTAGAACTGAACCCTGGGATTCTGGAATGATTTTGGAAAATCCTACTCTCAAATTGAAACTAACACAAATCAGCCTGAAGAGGTCAGATGGAGGGCTCACCTCCATCTGGGTATGGAAACCATGATCTTCCTTTGCTTAAAACCTCCTGAGAGCTTCCACACCCCTCACTCCTCCTTCCTTCCCTCACTCCTGGTCACCCTGCAGTTTCCCCAGCACTCCGGCTCTGCCCTGCAGTCCAACAGAAATATAATGCAATTTACATTTTCTAGTAGCCACCTTAAACAGAGTGAAAAGAAACAGGTAAAATTTTTAATATATTTTATTTAATCCAATATATCCATAGTATTATCATTTCAAAATGTAACCAACATACAAAAATTATTAATGAGATATTTTACATTCTTTTTTTGGTACTATCTTTGAAATCCAATTATAGCCACATTCTGAGTGCTCTATAGCCTCATGTGGCTAGTGGCTACCATATTGGACAGCACAGGGCCAGAACCCTCTGACCCTGGAATCTTCCAATGGTTTTTTCTTTCCTTGGAAGAAGAATTCCATGATCACCAACCCAACTCCCCACCCCCTTCCCCAGGACCCACCACTCCCCACCACACACACCACCTCTTGCCCTCCAGTGTGGGCTCTGTGAGAGGAGACCCTTGTGGTGCTTTCAGCGCCCAGAACCGAGCCTGACACAGCACTCAGAAAATGTCACTCTCCACCACACTCTCAACGCTTTAACACAACTTCTGCAGTTCCTTTCCCTCATAACTCTCTAGGGCTTTTCTTCATGCTGATCCCCCACATCCCAGATCCTTCCTCAGGCCACAGGAATTTGACTTTCGCCTGTGACTCCTGCCTGCAAACTCACCCTAAAAACTGTGACTTCTAAATAATCCACATCTATTCTTCTCACAAGAGTTTTCCAACATGTAGCTGCAATGTCAAACTGCCACGTCACACCACACAGTAGGACCTGGGAGGACTTTAAGTGTGACGTTTCAGGCCCAGCTCCTAAAACTTTCCAACTGACGTGCCACAAACTGGCACAGGTGTGCTTCTGAGACAGCGATGGCTGCAAAGTGTTATCGGGACAAGCAGAAAATCGTTTAAGATTTACAACGGCTAAAATTATGTTTCATTACTGTTAAAGGCTCTCTTTCTAAACTTCCTGGCTTTAGTAAAATGTAACTCATATAAAGTTTAAAAAAAGCAGTGAATAGTCCCACCAAGCCCCATGCAGATGCCGGGGCGCTACTTGGCCCCGGTGCACTGTGTCCTGAGGTGGGAAGGTCCTGAGGGGAGTGCCACCACCCCTCACCGGCAGCCGCTATTCTGCACAAAGTACAGCCAGGAAAGAATCAGTCCCACACTCAAACCAGCGAGCCTTCCCCATGAGGAGGTGGTAATGTAGCTAGGGCAAAACGGACCAATCTGTCTCTAGTTTCCTTTTTTAAAGCCAAAGAATATGGCAGGAACAGGCATTTTAGAATACAAGTTACTAACAGATAAAATAATGCTCAGCTTCATGAATTAAAAAAGAAAACAAAAACCCACAGGACAGGGAACCATTTTTAGTCTCTCCTGCGGCCTTGAGAAGAATGGCGACATCCAGTGCTGGAGGGAGGGCAGTAACAGATCCCTCCTTACACCTGGTGGGGGTGTCAATAAGAGCTTTCTCTTTAGGAGGCTGGCTTTTCAAAATGTGAAATGTCTACACTTGACCAGCCAGCCCCTGAAATCCACCCTGGCCTTGAACTGAAGCACAGCCACGTGAACAAGGATGGCCAGAGCAGCACTGCCAGCAAGCTCGATGAACTGCCGAGGGAATCAGAAAATAGGCTCATCTCCGCCACTCCCACCTGTCAGAAAATTGTCATCTTGCACTCATTTTGCTGGAACAACACACTTGACTACCATCTGTTGGAAAGCTCTGAAAATAAAACACAAATCGGGCCATCGATGATGTAGACAGTCTTCCTGGCAGGACGGGGAGAGGCGGCCGCCTCCTGATGCTTGCCAACGGGGAGGTGCTCAAAGGGGCCCCAGGGCTCCTGAGGGCTCCCTGCATCCATGGCTGCTCTCCCATCAGCCTCCACATACAACCAGAGGCGTCCTAAAATGAACTGCACTTGCAGTTTCAAGGTGGCAGAGTAAAGACAGTTTTGCCCCTTCAAGTCTTGAAGACCATCCCAAACAAGAAGCACACATTAAAATACAAATGACACCTGAATTTGAGCGCTCGACCCACAGATGTGGGGATGGCTAACAGTGTGGCACCCCCAGGTAGCCAACAAGGGTGTGCAAACATCTGTCACCAAAGAAGGGCAAGAGCAGAGGATGGGAGGCTGAGGGCATCATCCCATAAACCACCACCACACTTCTGGTCAGTTCTCAGATCAGAACCCACCGACCAGAGAGGTGTCCTAGGAGGGAGGACCTTGCACTTTGTGACAAATGTCCATTGCCTGGATTTCCCCACAGGTTTCTATGGCCACTTACTCAGGGACTGTACCCTGGGACAAGAGACTAAGCAGACATCGGAGGGACTATTGGACACAAGTTCTGAGTGGACATTGAAACTCAAAGATTCAAAGCATCATCATGCCTCCTCCACTCAGGAGGGGTGGCGGGGTGGGGCCAGGTAATAAATGGAGCCTGGTCCAGATCTCTTCCAACCACAGTATGACAAAAGAAGCCTAGGGCAAAATTGTGAAAGAATCTTGTTGTCCATCCCAAACCAGCGTGAACGGTTTCTGCTCCTCTTTTCTAATCAGTATGGAAGAATGTGTTTGCCCATCACTGGCTACATGCTGTGCCTGAGGCCTTATTAATCCATCTGCTCTACAGCCATCCCATGTCCAGCACAGCAGCGGCCACCAGGTCTACTAGTTGGTTAAGTTCTCTGGGATCCATCTAGTTTCTTCAAGCGCTGGACTAGTGAATTAAACTGAGAGACAAGAGGGACCACCGTCCCTGCATTCTTTAGGTTTTAATGGTGGCACTAATCTCCTCCATCCTTCCCCACCCCCAGAGTTAAGTGTTTTGATTTACTATCTTGAGGGAGGCAGTTTCAGGTTTCCACTTGGCCCTCTCCTCACAAGCCGAGGAATCAACGTAGGGGTCACTCCAACCATCAACTGTATCAGTTCCAATCACACATTCGGGGACTGGGGAGATGACTGCTGGGTGGGTTCACGAACCCAGTGGCCTGTTGTGAGCCCCCAGTCTCAGACCCCTCAGGAATGAAGGTCTGGGTCACCTCAGGAAGCCACAGAGACCTGCCAAGGGGATGGCTGAGGGTATGAATAATGGAGAAGGGAGAGAGTGAGTACCTATTGTGGCTCCAAGATCAACTGCAGTGACAGGGGCTACAGTTTGTCCAACCAACCAAACTCCCACTTCTCAATTTCTCCTCAGGAAGAGACGCCCTGGAGAGCATGGGCAGCTGCTCCTGACCTGTGTGGAGTAGAGCTGAGGGGTGCAAGGGTGGACTATTGTGGCCATGAAAATGCTTACTGGCTCTCCCACTGCAAGAGTGCAACTGACAGACGCCCCCACTGTGGTGCACCGACCCTCCCCTCTGCTCATGCCGGGGCCACACGCCCGTGGTAGCTCTCGGCCAGTGGCTGCGTGGGGCAGGAGGCCCATTCCTGTGACACCAGACTCCTCTGACAGGTGGCTTGAGGACTCTGGGGCCAGGCAAAGCTTTCTGAGGGCTGCATGGCAGCCTGTGGCTCTTCCTCCAACTCTCTTTTGTCCTCTCTCCCTTCTAAGGGGCCAGACCCATGGTGCCCTCTGCCGGCCTCCTCACCTTCTCCGACTTACTCCCCATTCTTCCTCACAGGCCTTCTCCCAATACATCTTTTGCATGTCTAATCCCATCGTGGCACTCTAATGCCTTCAACGAAAAACCCCACACGCTCTATGGGGATGGAAAGCGGCACGGAAGCAGTAAATGATTTAGCCGAGTGGAGGAAATTCCAACCTCAGTGAGCGGCCCACAGGAGATAATGTGGACCACAACACCCTGGAAAGGCTCAGGAAGTGAATGACAGGTGCTGCGGAAGGCAGGGTGAAGCAGGGAGCAGGACACCGAAGAGTTCTTTTGGAAAGTCTTCGTAAAGGTGAAGGCAGACCTCTCAGATCCGTAGCTCCACCCTAGAAGAGAGGCTTTTGGCTCCTTTTTCACTCCTTGTAGCCCATTATCTAGAAAAACTGAAACTGAGTTTGCAGACTCGGGCCTCAGGCACAATACCAACAGATGTGTTGGTATGGGGCACAGGGAGCACAAGGGCGAGGGGCCCAGCCTGAAGACAGGGCTCTGTTGCAGAGGTCTGCATTCTGGCACGTGAGAACCCCAGCCCCACCCCACACAGCCTTCTCACACTAGCAGCCAGGCTTATAACCCTCAGTAAAGAGACCAGAGGAGGCTTTTCTAGAGAAACTAAATGGTGCCCAGAGAAAAGACCTACAAGCAGAGAGAGCTGTGACCACCTGCTGCCTTAGAGGAAAAAACCCATCTTTCAATAATCCCAACCCATGCACTTCTACTTGACCATCTTAAATAGGATCAGATGACAAGGGATTGCCAGACTTTTGGGGAAAGCCTCGCACATGACAGAGAGAGATCAACACACACCAAAAAAGGAACTCAGGGGAAAGAAAAGCCATGCAGGGATTACCCTCAGAGAGATGATACTGCATTCATGCAACAAGAACAAAATGCTATAAAAAGGAATTTTTGAGGATAAAAAAGAGCTCCAACCAGCTGGTACTTCAGAGAAAGAGCGAATAAAGAACAGAATAAAGAGGGCATCCTTAAAGAAATAATACTAATTTCTCAGAGCTCTATGGCATGTCCTTCCAGACTGAAGGTCCCACCAAGTACCCACCACAATTGATGAAAAAGACGTCCACATCAAGGCATATCATCCTAACATTTTAGAATACAAGGAATAAAGAAATGATTTTAAAAGCCTCCAAAGATAAAACAAAACCCAAACCAGGGCACTCACAAAGGATCAGTAAAAAGAATGGCATTAGAAAGCTAAAAAGCCAGACTAGATGCTATACTACCATGGGGTACTGCATTTACAATTCTGAGAGCAACTGAGTTGTAACTAAGAATTTTATACCCAACCAAACTATTAATCAAGTGACAGGGCAAAATGAAAAGTTTCAGATATCTGGGGCCTCAAAAAAAATTTACCTCCCATGTACCACTTTTGGGGAAGCCATTGGAAGATATGTTCCATCAAGACAAGGGAGTAATTCAAGAGAGAGACAGGGGTCAGGAAGCAGGGAATCCAACACCGAGAGGGGAGGAAATCCCAGGGAAATGCTGGGCGAGGTGTAGGACAACCCCGCTGCATCAGGGATGGGGGTACCAGTCCAGATGGGTGCAGGACGCAGGCCCCAGGATACATGAAACTGATGAAATAAGACACCTGGGTCCACTGAGAGACGACTTAGACACCTGGCAGAAAGCTTAGGGTTAAACTAGCAAGAAGAACAGAGAAAATACTCCCTCCTTGAAAAACAAAACAACAAAGACCAAAACTCAAACAAATAAAAGACAAACGTTGTTCACTCCAGGGACAAAGAAGTGAAAGGAAAAGAAATATATTCATGGTATAAATACAGCTCAGCTGTGAAAAGCATTTATGTGGTCATGACAGCATAAAACACAATATGGATACTGATGCACATCCAATTACATTGTAACTATGCTGGGAGGACAGAGGAACAGGAAAGGCGGCAGGCTGAGGCTGAGGTTGGTGAAAGAGCTAAATCAGTAGGTACTGACCCAAACTAAACAAAGATCAACGAGTAGAGATCTACTCATATCATTTCAAGATATGGAGATAAACACCAAAATACCAGCTAAAAGAACCAAAAGAATTTCCTTCTGGGGAGAGATAAATAAAAGAGAGGAGGTGGGGACTCTGCTTTTTCATAGATATTTGTAAAACTATTTGATCCTTGATAAAAATAAAAAACAAAACAAACAAAAAAACCAATCAACTCACTCAGCAAGTTGCAGAACCATTATGTGCAAGATGATCCCATTTTCGAAAAACATAAGTTAAAAAGGACATAAGCGCAGACAGATAAGTTGGCATTAGCATAAGCAAGAAGATGGTGTCAGTGTAAAGTCAGGAAGGAAACGCACCCAACTGCCATCACTGGTCACTGCCAATGGAGAGCTGGGAGACTTTCATTTCTTTTAATTTTTTGAATTATATAAAGTAAAAAGTGGTGGGATTATGGGTGTTTTATTTTTCAAATAATTAAATTTTATCTTTAGTATAAAACCATTTTAATAAGCAAAACTGAAAGTGTGTATCTATGGGTATGGTATCATATAAAGGAGAAAAGACTGGAAAGGCTCACCAAAAACCATTAACACACTAAAGGGTTAACTTGGTCCATCATCTTCTGGGACCCGGAGGGTCAGTGGGGTGGGTAAACTGGGGCCTTTCACTACTTGCTCTGTCTACCTTTCCCACAATGAGCATGCAGGACCTTCATAGAAAACACAAGCCTGGCAGGCTCCCAAAGGTGTGAACAGGAAGGTACAAGACATGGGAGGGAGACGGGTCGGGTGGTGAAGAGGATGGAGAGGTGGTCTGCTGAATCATGCTGGGCAAACCAAACACTTCTTTGGACCCTATCTGACCTTCTGGGCAGCAGCAACAGAATATTCCCTAACACAGGCACGCGTGTGCTGCGGCTCTGCCAAGGTCCCCGGGAATGGGAGGATATTGCTTTCCCACATATCTCCAGGCCAAAGAGGGGAGAAACAAGGAAGGCAAAACCATTTCCCTTTACAAAATTAATAAGGCCTAACGTAATACTTACTCTAAAGCATGAATTTAGTACAAAATGTATTTAAGAGATATTAAGAGTGCCTTAATTTATATAAAGGTCTGTGAAAATTTTAGGAAGAGAAACAAAATGGTAAGTTGGGAAATCTTTATTTTTACTTTAACTAGTGTTACTATTTTTAAAGCAAATTCGTCAACAGAATTTATATTATTTTAACTGAACACTTCGTGGCAGCAAAGGCTATATCTTAAATACCAGCACACTCGTCAGGAGCCGGTGCTTATCAGTGTGCCAGGCCTTGGACAGGCGTGGGGAGGACCAGGGATGCTGCCATGCTGATCTGGGGCGCAGAACTGAGGCTCAGGATGAGGGGTACATAATTCATGTAAGATTTCTCAAGCAACTGTATCATGTACTACTTGGCCTCTAGCTGTCCCCCATCCCAAATCTAAATTCCTGCTCATTAAAAATGGGATTTCAAAGGGGCTGGCCCGGTGGCGTAGCATTTAAGTTCACGCGCTCCGCTTCGGCAGACGGGTTCACAGGTTCAGATCCTGGGCGCAGACCGATGCGCCTCTTGTCCAGCCATGCTGTGGTGGCATCCCATATAAAGTAGAGGAAGATGGGCATGGATGTTAGCCCAGGGCCAATCTTCCTCAGCAAAAAGAGGAGGATTGGCAACAGATGTTAGCTCACGGCTAGTCTTTCTCCCAAAACAAAACAATGGGATTTCAAATATGGCAAAAATATTAACAATAGGGGAATCTTGGTAAATAGTATTTGGGAGTTCTTTGTTCTGTTCTTGCAACTTTTCTCTAACTTTTAAGTTACTTCAAAAGTAAAAGTTAAAAAAAAAAAAGTAGTATTCTTCTGCAGTATCAAATTGAGCAGCCAGCCCAGGATTATGACAACAAAATGATTGTGATTTTAAAAATAAAATTAATATGGTATCACTACTTACTCTATGAATTATACCAGCTGAATGCAGATGTTTAATACCACAGAGCATCTGGTACAGAAGGTAGGACATTCTTTCATGGTCCAACTCCATATGAATGACCTGACATAAGTTAGCATCCATTAATTCCATAACCAAATACCTGAGGGAAAAAAAGACCAGCCAAGCACACATGAAAACTATCCAAAATTCCTTTATGGTTATTATTATTTTTATGAAGCAGTAATAACTTACGACCTAGTCACTGCACTGGCTAAAGTAAAAAGATAATTTGTTTTCTCTAAACTTTTAAAGGTATCTTGAAAAGAAGCAAACATATAATGGAACTTTGTCAAAGTTTTCCAAAAAAACCCCCAAAACTAATAATGCAATGTCTTGCAAGTTAAAAACAAAACAATTTTTAAATCATATGAAATAGAATCTCAAACACTGAAATTCTACTTCATCTTAAATTTTTTGCTATTGGATCATTCTTACCAGTATAGAAACCACGTTGTTATTTCTCTCATCTTATGGAAACTTTTCGCTTCATTTCCCCCACCAGCTACCACCCCATATTTTTGCTCCCTTTGCAAGCAAAACTCCCCAAAGAGGTGTCTATACTTGCCATCTCCAATCCTTCTCCCATTTTCTCTTAATCCCACTTTGATCAGGCTTTTGCCCCCACCACCCTGCTGAAACTGTCCTCAAGGCCCCCGATGACTTCCATGTTGCTAAATCCAATGGCCAGTCCTATAATCCCAGCTGATGTTGCCCTCTTCCTCTCCCCAACTTCTTACTGTTGGAGTGCCAACACTCCGCCCTTCTCTAACTGCACTGAACAGTCTTGGTGACGTCCTCTTGGTCTCTGGTCTCAAGGCTTTAAATACCATCTGGAGACCATCAACTTCCAAATTCACACCTTCAACCCAGACCTCTCTCCTTACCTCCAGGCTCATTACCTAACTGCCCACTTCACAGTTCCACTTGGGTGTCCAATAGACATCTCGAAGTCCATGTCCAACACTGAAGTCCTGATTCTATCCGACCCTCCAATCTTCCCTTCCTGTAGCCTTCCTCATCTCAGTTGAGAGCACTTTCATCCTTCAGGTGCTCAGGCCAAAAATCCAAGCATCATTCTCAAGTCCTCTTTCTCTCACACCACATGGCCTCTCTAAGAGCAAACACTGTGGCTCTACCTTCAAAACAGTTTCAGTATCCAATCTCTTCCCTTTACCCTCACTATTTCCCCTCTTGTCCAAATGGAGCCACCATAATCTCTCACCAAATTGCTGTAATAGCCTCTTAGCTGATCTTCTATGTCCCTACCCCTTAAGGTGGGTTCTCCACCCAGAAACCAAAGTTATTCTCTTAAAATGTAAGTCAGGTAAGCTCACTCTTCTGCTGAAAGTCTTACTGACTTGCCTTAGAGTAAAACGAAAACTTTACAACAGCCTAGAGGCTCAGCAGTGTGTGGCCCCGTCACTTCTCTGAGCACACCTCTTCTACTCTCCTCTGCTCCCTCCACTCCAGCCATGCCGGCCTCTTGTTGTTCTTAGAGCACACCAGGCATGCTCCCATCTCCACTCCTTTGCACTGCCTGTTCCTTCTATCTTGATTCCATCTTCCCCCAAATATCTGCAGGACTAAGTCCGTCACCTCCTTCAAGTCTTTCTTCAAATGTCAGCATCCAGTGAGGTCTTTCTCCAACCACCCTACTGAACACTGCAACCTGACTTCTACTCCCCAGCACTCTGATCCCCCTTACCCAGCTCTACTTCTTCAAGAGCACTTGCCACATCTTAACGAACAATTCATTTCCTTATTTACTATGTTGATGGTCTACCTTCCCTGGCTTTCCTGGCAAGCTCTAGGAGGGAATATTACCACCTATGATTCTTAAGTAATAAAAGAGATTTTTGCCTGTTTTGGTCACTAAAATATGCCAAGTCTAAGACAGTGCCTACCACATGGTTGGCAATCAAATATTTGTTGAATGAATGAATACATCAATGAATTTAGGATGAGTTGGGCCTTATATCTCGATATGAGAAATTAATATTTCATTTCATGAAATATATTATTCAGTAAGATAATTCTATTTCAGATTTTGGAAACACACAATATTTAATGACTTAACCGTTTCAAACAATAATTGTAAACACCTGAACCCTACAATCCTAGCTTTCAGGAGATTGGAGAAAAACTGTTTATATTTCAGTAAAGCAAATCAGCAGCATTAATGGTCACTGTCTGCTCTGAAAAATTATTTTCAGTCATCCTTTATCTGTTATGGAGATGATAACTATCTAGGCACAAACAGTTGAATATTATTATCCATTTAACTTAACAATTCTCTTCTACAAAGAAAAGTAGCTAAGACATCATTAAAAATGTACTGAAATCTACATTTCCTAAGTTAAAAAAACAGTTACTTTCTTTACTAAATTTTCAGTCTTTGATGCATAGTGCATTACTGAATAAAAATGATACTTACACATCTTGAAATTCTTCTAGAGTTTTTTGTGGTGTAAACACATTTAACAAACTAATTATCTGAAAAGAGAAAATTAATTATACTTTAGCATGTCAGATGACTCTATTTGATTATAAAAATTAAGTTTAACATTAAAATGTATTAAAACCAGAAAAAAATCACAGCAGAGCTCAGTATTCATTACTATTGTTATTGTTTTTACCAAAACTTTCTATTACGTGGTATTTGAAAAAAGCTAAATGATTAGGATTCTCACCTTGGAAATAAGATGCACTTTTAATCAAATCACTTTTATGTGTCCCTAGTAACTTATTATCAGAGAATTTTAACACATAATTGCCTTTCTGGCTCTTAACATAAAAAAGTGGAAATTACGGGTAGAAAGACACTAAATAAAGCAATATGTTAACTCTGAAAACTTAAACACTATGTGCAAATTTCTAAAGTTTTGAAATATGAAGGCTAAGCTTGTATTTTTGGTATGATAAAGATGAAATGCCTTATAGTGTTATGCATTTACTTAAAGAGGGTTCTAGAACTGACCCCACTGCAGGCCTACTCTTGGCACTCCAAAGGTTTAACAATGAGTTCCGCTGCTTGAGCATCAAACACACATCCTCAATCACTTTAAATGATCGAGGGAAAGATGAAATGTTCAGTACAATAAGATTGGGGTAGCTGGCTAGCCAAGGAAAAAATAAAACTGGAACCATACTTCAATCTTTACATCAAGATAAACTCAAAATGGAACAAAGATAAATATAAAACATTAATATATGGATAAACATTCATCTAATCTTGGTGTAGAAACGCCTTTCCTAAGCATGACAGGAAACCTAGGAGATTTGATTACATTAAACCAAAACCAAAACCAACCAAACAAAAAAAATTAGTATGACAAAAACAACCTAAATAAGGTCAGATGGAAAAGAAGTGAGGGTTGACAGTTTCATTATACAGAGATCTTCTATAAATGCATAAGAAAGAGATCAACAGTCCAAGAGGAAAATGGACAAAGGTCATGGAAAATAAACTCTCAAGAAAAAAAAATGGTTAACAGAGATATGGAAAGAAATTCAATCTCACAAATAAAAATAAGGTATCATTTGTTCTCTGTCAGACTGGAAAAGTAAAACAAAAATCAACAGTATGCCGTGCTGGAGGATTCTGAAATAAAAGACATTCGTAGATACTCTTAACAAAACCATAAACTGACAGTCTTTCATGAGGTTAATTAGTCAGCATATATTAAAGCCAGGAGTGTGTGTACTCTTTGACCCTGCAATCCTGGCCAAGAAATTCACCTGGACAACTGTGCAAAGGTGCATGTATAAGGATGCTCACTGTAGCATTTTTGATAAGAGCAAAAAACTGGAAACAATATAATATGCAATAATATGTGATTGGTTAAATAAATTATTGTGCATCTGTACTATGTAGCCATTTAAAAAATGGTTTATATCTATGTTCATTAACATAAATGAGATCTAGTAACATTTCATGAGGGAAAAAAGCAAAATGCATAATAACATAATTGATCTCGCGTATGTATGTGTGTATATATACGCAGAAGAATGCTCACCAAAATGTTAATGGTAGTGATCTGTGAGTGGTGGGATTCAAGGATTTTTGCTTTCTTGTTTATATTGTTGGAATTTTTAAAAATAATAACCATATAATTTTTTGTAACCTGAAAATTTTTAAAAAATAAATAAGTAAAATAAAGCTTGCACTGGAGAAATTAAAAACAAACTCAAACCACAGACTCGAAAGAATGAACCTTAGTTTCATATTTCATGTCCCTACACCAGAAAGATCCAGCATAAACGTTAAAATAAAAGGAGCCATATAGAGTTGAGTGTAATCTTAAATACTCACACTCCCCAACAAAAATGGGTCACAGGGGGTGATCTCCAAAGCCCTTTCCAGATTTAACATTTTATGACTTTTATAACATGGCAAAGTTATCAAAATCATGCTTAACACAATGCTCAGAGACCAGTAGTAGGACATACAATGTGCCTGAATATCTCATTTTCTAGAGACATACTATTTCTCCCTAAAATTTACAGTGCTTTGATTTCTGTGGGGATGCCAAGTACAGCTATCTTGAATAAATATTTATTTAAAACTGAGATTACCAGGTAAAAAGCTACTTATAGAACGTTTTTCCAAAAAATATTCAGCTGTTTCTCAATTTGTTAGGTCAATACCGTTGCCATTTTATAGAAAGAGAAATAGTGAAAACCAAATGGTTATAGGGTTAACTGACATTCCTACCCCTGTTGAGTGATCTAAATTCTTACGACCATGATGCCTCTTTCTGACTTCAATTTCCCCAATGTTAAGAATTTTATCAGTAAAATATAACCATTTTAATAGTTATTTTTATCACGAGTTTACCCCAGGTCTAAACTCAATGTATCGCCAAAGACTCAGATGATGATCACATCATTGACAACATTAAAATATAGAGGAAACACAGACATTACTTACATTTTTATGATTGACACATTTTAAGAGGACAAGTTCGCGATAAGCTCTCTTTGCATGAGTCTGATTCTGAAAAGGACGGCTTAGTTTCTTGACTGCAACATTTATCCCAAGAACTGTATCAAAAGCAGCACTATAATTAAGAAATATAATAAGCAATCAATTAGAATGATTTTAGAAAATAAAGCAATGCAGAATGTACATTCAATGTATTATCTTTTTTAATGAGTAACAAATAAGGAAAAATCTTTCTTTGTTTCCACCCAAGGTACTTGTATACATGAAGAGCAAGGTGAGTTGGCTCAGAGTACAGGACAGACTGACTCCTTTGCAGAGGCAGGGACATGGCAGGTGCAGTTAGGATGGGATTCAGTAATTCTTTGCACCTTGACTTCTCATTGTATTAGTTGAGATTATTATGTTCTGAAACAATTAATTTAACAAAGACCATCTAAGACTGGTCAAAAAATGAAATCTTCAGTTTAATTATGCCAATAAGTTGAAGAAAAGTCACTGATTTTCCCAGAATAATATAAGTATATTTTGGGGTATCACAGTGGAGGAAATGGTTGAGTTCATGAGAAGAACATAATAAATCTAAGTTTTGATTCATTGTGTTTTTCCCAGACAAAAGAATCTAAAAAGAAAACAGCCAAAATCTCAGCTCAAGGTAAATCCCCAACATACAAAACTCCTAACAATAAGCAAATGCTGTACATAAAATTCTACTTGAAATACCTCCTCATACTATTACAGTAAGAATAAAATTTTCTAGAGGCTGTGTTTCAAGCATCTCAAGTTCCCAGTTGAAATTTACGGTTCATTTTCCTCCAGAAAATAGACATGAAATATTGAGTAGCCTGATGGTACATTTTGGGGTTTCAAACTAGTACCAATAGTAGCATTGGTGTTATTAGTATCTTTTGGCTACTTATCAGGCGTTAAAAGCCGCTAAAGACCACCTGAGAACCTAAGCACCATTTAAAATATTGTTTCTATTTATTGATTCTATTCAGTTTATAATATTATTTACACTTACTTCTATTAGTAATGCTAAACAACCCTAGCTTAGTTCAACCTGTTTTTAGCTGAAGGCTGTCCGCTGTTGTATTTGGTTAAGAATTGCTACAAAATTCATGATACTTTGGAATTATTCTTTAATTCATTTGACACTGTGTACATATACACACATATGTAGATTCATATGCCCATATACAAATATACCATTCATATGAATTATAAAATGTTAAATATAAATCTATTTGTGAAATCATTAATTAGCATACTTGTATACATGTGTGTATTTGTACCTATATATATATATTTCTCAATCTCAAGAATTTGCAAACAGATACGCCTCTTTGGCTCTCAAAAGTTTTTGTCCAAAATGAGCCAAAAGGACCAATTCTGAGCATCTGAGTGGACACATGCTTCCCCACTCCTAGTTCCAACTCCAGGAACAACTACCTTCAATTATTCCTGGTTTTACTTCTTGTGGTCACTTCTCAAATCCAAATATACTTTTATCATGATTTCCTCATTTATCAACTTTAGAAATGAACTATTTACTCCCCATTATGAAAACTGAGGATTTAATAATTTACTTGAAACCCCCAACTCCTCCCCGTTTTTTGTTCTCATGTTATTTTTAACTTTTCCCTTGGTTACCTTTGCAACTTTAAATAACATGCCTAAATTCCTTGTTCCATCAACTTTCAAAGGAACCTCTTGACTCCCCAGTATGTAAAATGAGTCTATTATATTCCAGCTCCTTTCTCCTCCAGCTCTCTACTCTCTTCTCTTTTCCTCTAAACTTCTGTCTTAAGTGGTCAAGCTTGATAACACATCTATTTGATCTCTACAATCCAGTCTTTCTGTGTTTCTTCTTTAGGATGGATATAAAAGTTGAAAATCAAAGACAGAGAGTGTATGTGTGTGTGCACATGTAAATATTACTAATTGCAGAGCTTGGATTACATTTTATTTTCTAAAGATCACATGACCCTTGCTGCCGCTCATAAGAGAATGAGATTGTTTCTAACATTAAGGTCAAATGGATTCTCTTTTCTTACATTCTATCAATTGCTCAAATATCATGTCCTTTTCATTTGTTTTATACTTAGACCATGACTTTTTCCAGCTTTTCCCCTACAAATTTCTAATAAACTTTTTTTTTTTAAATTGAGAGAAAAAAACCCAAATCTTTGTTAAGCCTATCACTGGTACTTTCTTACTCACATTATCTATTGTTTGGAATCTATCCCATTCTTTTTGGAGACATTTTTCTTAAGAGTTTTTTCAAGGCCTACTACACAGCTATCATCCTGGGATTTCTTTTCACTGGCCTCCACTGTTGCTCATGTTTCACGTTCTTGAAGGCTCTTTCTTGTTGGAGTACATCCTCAAGCAATTTCCTCAGAAAAAGTACATAGAAAATAAATGATCTTACTCTGCCCTCACCCTTGGTTGATTTCAAAATCCATCTGCCCTCGCAACTCCACCGATTTCCAGTGGTGAGTGTTGCTGGTGAGAAGGCTTATGCCTCTGATCTTCATTCCTGTTTCCTTTTTTCTTCCTCGGCTCAACGTTTATCACAAAGAGCCATGCTTTGTCAGCATCCCCAAAGCCCCTCACACATCTCCTACTAATCACGATCCCTCCTGTACCCCAAAAATGGTAACTACTTCTGACTTTTATGATAATCACTTCCTTGCTTTTACCAGCTAAATATGCATCTTCAAGCCCCCACGGTTTATTTTTGCCTGGTTTTTGAAATCATCTGTGTCTGACTTCTTTCATTCAACATTCTATTCATGAGATTCATCAGTGGTTCTTGTGTGTAGCTATAATTCATTCTGTGTCATTGCTATAATATTCTGTTACATGACTATATGACATAATGTTGACAGATACTTAATTGTTTTCAGTTTTGCAAGTGATTACATAAAACATGGTCATAAACATTCCCATATATGGCTCTGGGTCCCCATGCATGTATTTCTGATAAGCAGATAGCTAAGAGTGGGACTGCATAGATTCTACTTTAGTAAATAATGTCAAACTGTTTTCCAAAGTGGTTCATTCTACCAATTTCAAGGCATTTGATTTTTTTGTATATTGACTCTGTATCCCACAGCGGGGCTAAACACACTCAATAATTTAACAAAAGGGAGACTGGGGTTGGGGGCTAATCTATCACAAGAGCCCTTTAGGAGCAGAGTTTGTTCTGGCTGGTGGGAAGAATGGAAGTCAGAGAGAGATGAATCCTGAGAAGGACTGGACGTGCCATTGCTCCCTTTAAGATGGAGGGGGTCATGTGAGAAGGGATGTGGGAGCCTCTAGGAGCAGAAAGGCCCCTGGCTGACAGGGAGTGAGGAAATGGGGACCTCAGACCTCCAGCTGCAAAGACTTGGGTTCTGCCAACAAACTGAATGCACTTGGAAGGCACTCTGACCTACAGTACTATGAGATTATAAATGGGTATTGTTTTAAACTACTAAGTTGGTGGTAATTTGCTATGCAGCAATAGAAAACCAATAAATCTTCTCTTCTGTATTTTTCTACCCTTTTGTCTCTCCAGGCTTCATTTTGGATATTTTTTTTCTGACTTAGCTTTCAGATCATGAATTCTCTCTTCAATTATATCTAATACGCTGTTAAACCCATCAATTAACTTCATAATTCAATGACTATATTTTACAGTTCTAGAGTTTCTATTTAGTTCTTTTTTTTTTAAGTTTTCATTTCTCCACACAAATTTTTCATCTTGCCTTTTATTATCCTGAACATAACATCATAGTTATTTAAAAGTTTGGATCTGATTAACACCAATATCCCCTGTGGATCTGTTTTTTTCCTCTGTTGTTTGTGCTGGATTTTGTGCATGTTGTCTAATCTCCTTGTGTGCCTAGTTATTTTTGATTATGTGCTGGACCTTGTACTTGCAAAACTGTTTGCTACCCAGAAATAATCTGATATACAGCATGATGCTATCTTCCTTCAGGGGGAATTCACATCTACTTCTGCTGGGTACCTGGGGGCATGAGCAATTTGGGTTCACCTCAGTACCAGTTCAGCAAATGAGATGATTTGAAGCTGAATGGCAGTGCCTGCAAAAGCCTGTCTCTTTCTGGTTCATCCTTACTTCTAGGATGCAGCCCTTTATGGGCCCAATTCAAAGCAAAGTTCACTAGGTCCCTTTAGAGGGCCCTGGACTCTAATCCCTGTCTCCCAGCCCCACAGGCAGTCCAAAGCACTACTCAATCTCTCAGTCACCCACTCCAGAATTTTCAAATGCCCACAAGAGAAAGATGGCCCCAAATTCTGAGCTCCTCTCACTAGGCTTCTGTTCTTTCCTGGATTCTGGCCTAATAATTCTTCACTCACCTACCAACTCTCTAGGAGCAAACGCTGAGCAGAGGAATAGGGGTGGGAATGTTGGGAGCCAACTGGCATAGTTCTTTTATAGACACACTTTTCATTAACACTACTTCTAGCCACCTGTTTCATCTTCATTTTCTGTATTAATCATCTCTATACCCACAGCCTCTTTGGGGTTCTACTATAGACAGGTTCTCTTCCTCGTTGCAAATGTCTCATCTACTTATTCTCACTTTTCTGCTCTGTTTTATCTGCATCAAGCTTCCAATTACTTTTTATATTTCAGAAACTTGTTAAAAACTCTCATCCATTGATTACTCTCTCCTGGTCTCTTTGCTTAGGTGTCTGATCCACCATCTTAAATCAGAAGTTCCAAACCACTCATTTTAGAGGTGAAAATATTAAAGCCCATCAAGACAATGATTTACCCAAGCTCACAAAGAACTACCGCTGTGAGGATCAGAGCTGGACTTAGAAGTCATTTCTCCTGAATCACAGCCTTCCTATGCCTTTTATCATTTATCTCCTTTATCACTGAAGTTTTGTTTGAATATTATGTTTTAATTTATTTATATTAATAGAGGTAAAATGAAACAATGTAAGAGGCCAATATTCATGCTTGTACAGAACTAGAGAAAGCAAAAAGGAATAAGAGCTATACCAACCATTTCACGTTAAGGTTTTAATTGTCACTTCTAAGTACTGCCAGATCTAATATTTAAAAACTTCATAGAACTGTTTTATAAAAGAAAT